AAAAAAAAAAAAGAAAAAGAAAAGCAGCCTCAATCCTCAAGCATACCCCTCCCCACACACACAAAGCCCACAGCACTGACCTAACAGAGTAGGGATGACCCTAGACATGGCCTAACAGCACATCAGAGTACTCCAGAAACCCAAGCAGAAGGTATGAACAATAGAGAATGATCCCTTGCAACTATCCCTGGGGTAAGGCAGAATAAGGATTCTGTGAAGGTCACTGTGTGAATAATGGAAACTCTACCAACACAACCAGCTCTTTCCAACTCTAGTTGGGCATGAATTCAAGTCCCTGTTGTAACTGTAGCGACTGTCTGGCCTAACCTTTACCCGTCTCCTTATCTGGAAAATGGAAATAAAAACAGCAGTATCTAGTTCACTAGGTTGTCGTTAGGACTCAATCACATTTAAAAAAAATTTTTCTAAAATTGGGAATTATACAGATATTAGTACACAGGTGAACAAGAGAAGTTCCCTGCTCTGCATTTACAGCTTCGGGACCACGTAATAAATAAACAGGTAATAAATGTATCAAAATGTAACAATGGAAGGGGCCAGGTACTAACTGACTGTCTAAGGTGTTCAGGGAGAACATTTCTAAAGAAATATCCCAAGATCTGGCACACACAGCATTGCTCTAGTCCCCAACTTGCTGTGTGGCCTTAAACAAACTGTTCACTTGTAAAGTGCAGGTGTCGTCAATTCCTATTCTAGGGGTTCCAAGGGCTGTGGCATGTAAATAAAGCTAGTTCAAAGGCCCTAACGCCTGCCTACACTCTCTGTTGCCAAGGAAACCACTCTCCGTCCCGCCCATTCGGTAGTCTTGGTTCTTTTCCCGCGGTCCCGCAGTTTCCCGGCTCCTTACTCGAGAGACGCCTTCCTCGCCGCCCAGAGTCTGTAGCATCTTGGCCTCATTACGCACGACGCCTGGGTACTCCACGCACACCAGTCGCCGTTCCCGCCGTAGGTCCACGGGGATGGCGGCCTTTGATTCCGCGTCCGGCTCCACCGCCGCCATACCTGCCAGTCCGGTCCCGGGCCGCCGTGGTCCGCTCCTCAAATGCTTCCCCGAGGCCTCACCTCAATGGTTCCGCGAAGGAATGGTTCCGGTTCTCCTTTCCGTTCACGTCCCCCTAAATCACTGAAACTCCAAGGCCTTCCGGAACCAACGCACCACAGCGTCTGTTTATTCTGCGGTACTACAGCAGACCAGAAGTTTTTTGTTTAAAAAGAAGAGGGGCGGACTGTATCCCACCAGCTAGCCAAACCAGCCGGAGCCAGGACTCGACCGGGTCCTTCCGGATATCCTGTCCAGTGAGAACTTTAAGGCGTGCTTAAGGGATCTTCTGGCCTGCCTCCCGTCAGTGAGCCCCTTTTCGGCTGTCAAACAATAAACAGTTCACTGGGTCCTTTTAGCCTTGCTCCTGTGTAGATGAGTTTAGGGCTGATCACTTGAGATTGGATATTATGGGGTCATTCTCAGTAGCCACTGATTGCCTGTAGCTCTTTATCTAGGGGGTGGGGTTTTGTGAGTGAGATTTTCCCCTTCATGTTGATACCAACAACATGGTGTTGTTTCGATGGTATTGTTGAGATTTCATGGGTACTGCTTTCCTGTCCTAGATACAGTATGCAGAAGGGGAATCTCTCTCTCTCCCTCCCTCCCTCCCTCCCTCCCTCCCTCCCTCCCTCCCTCCCTCCCTCCCTCCCTCTCTCTCTCTCTCTCTCTCTCTCTCTCTCTCTGTCTCTCTCTGCCAGGGTCTCTATATGTAGGCTTAGCTAGCCAGTAACTCGCAATGTAGACCAAGGCTGCCCATGAACTCAGAGATCTACCTGCCACTGCCTCCTGAGTGCTAGAATTAAAGGCGTGCGCCCCCTTGCTCCAGTGCAGGACCGGATTTCTGACGGCCCTTAGAGGGAATTCTGGATGAATGAAAATGGTGGGCTTGAGGCATTGTGCACCAAGTCCTCTACTCACGCAGACTCAAAGGCCCGAGTTCGGGCAGGATTCAGGCGTCCTTCTTCATCCATTAGGCAGATACTAAAGACCACTGTTGTGTGGAGAAATGGATCAGGTAGGCAAAAGTGGATTCATATGAAACACTAAGAGACAGACCAGTCCAGGCAGGAGATGCCTCCTGGGAGTGAGGGAATGACTATGAGAGTGAGTTTCTGGAACTGCATTTGAGGATATTATGTGTAGGCACCCCAAGTTTCTGAAGTGATTTCTCAAAGAACTCGTTGTAGGTGGATTAGAAAGGCAGAATGGGGACTGGAGATGGCTCAGTGGTTGAGAGGACTTGCCCCTCTCACAGAGGACCCAGGACAGTTTTCTAGCAGCCACATGGAGGCTCCCGGATGCTTATGACTCCAGTCCCAGGAAATCTGAAACTTACTTCTGGCATGGATGTGCTACACATAACAGGCAAAACACTCATATCCATAAAAATATTTAAATAGTTAAAAATTTTGATGAAGGCAGAATAAATCACTGCAGTGTTTATTTTAAAAAGAAAACATATCTTAAGAAGGAAAAGAATGAACTGATATGAATTATTTATGATTATTTTGCAATCGGAAGATCCAAACCTTTTTAATTATCTTTTAGCATGTGTGCGCGCGCATGCTGTGTGTGTGTGTGTGTGTGTGTGAGAGAGAGAGAGAGAGAGAGAGAGAGAGAGAGAGAGAGAGAGAGAGAGAAGACTGAAAGAGTGTGTCTGATCTTCTATAGCTGGAGTTATAGGTGGCTGCAAGCCACCCAACAAGCCACCCGACATGGGTGCTAGGAACCGAACTTGGGTCTTCTGGAAGAGCAGCAAGCGCTCTACTGCTGAACTAGCTCTCTAACCCCTCTGAGTGCAGTGAGCTACCAGCCAACAGCAGACACTGGTCAGCTGAAAAGGATCTGAACTAAAGGAATTGTGGTTCTTGGCCTGTCCTCCCTAGTTAGGGTTTACATTCTGCCGTGAAAGATATTGTGGGTAGTGAAGCCAGGATACTTCTTCAGAATTTTTCACACACTGAGAAAAACTGGCATTGTGTATTTTTGTTATCCCTTGTTCTCCAAACACCATCTGATGGTTTTATTTTCTAGAAAGGAGAATCTAACACATGTATTTGCTTCTGCTCGCAACTATATTTAACAAATCAATGCCCTCACACCATCCTGCCTCTCAGTTTGATATACAAGAGTCAGGCTCAAAGCCTTTGTCATCATCTTGCAGCAATGACGGTAAGATATTAGACGTACATTACATTGATATTTGGTATGTACTCACAGTGCCTGGTTAGCATATTTTGCAACATAGGTTATAATCATTTGCTGGTCGTGTGAGGGTCCAATTGGGTAGGTTTGCTTTTGTTTGCTGAACATGGCACCCCGACCTCTGCTGAGCAACTGGGTTCCTGAATCTACAAAGCTGCTTCTAAACTACATGGAGCCTTAGTAAACCACAATCCGATGTAGTGACGCTCTGGGTTTTCAGCTGTAACCTCTTTGCCTCAGTGATGTAAGAGTGATCTTGGGAAGGGAGCTAGTGCTGTTGCTGTTCTCAGTGGCTCCCTCCCCCTCTTCCGTCCTCTGCCTACCCACTACCTAACTACCAGCTCCTCAGCATGGAGGTTTATCTGTAGGCTTTACTTTCCCTGGAAATCGCCCAGGACACCTTAAGTCTAGTTTGGTGATGTCCTTGGTGTCCATGAATCAGACTCACATATCAGGGAGCCTGTCACACAGTCTTATTTACTTAATGCCAACTTTGCTTTACGCGAGGAATCTCAGCTGACTGCTCTACTGCAGTCCTCCCAGACCGGGACATGGGGGTGGGCACAGAGGACTCACTCAGGAAAGATGGAGAGAATGAATGAGTCCACTTTCTTGACTCATTCAAGCTGTCAACTCAACCCAAGCTCAGGACATGGTCACAGAACACTCAGTAAGCCTCATCCCCTAGAGCAATGTCCACAAGTGCGCAGGAACCAAGGAGAGGGGCAGGAGGGGAGGGGAAGAGAAGGACTAAGCTGAGGGCATCAGTCCAAGCTTCTAAAAGACAAAAGCGTAGTCCTACCTGGGATCTGAGCCAGGGAGGGCAGGGTGGGAACTGAGAGGAGCCAGAAGGGATCAGAAAGTCGATGAAAAGAGGAGCGTCCACACCGGGAGGCATTTAGCAAATGTGTCTCCTGCATGCCTGGGTCTTTGTGAGGCATGGATGATGAAGCAGAAAGCCTGCCCTCCTATAGCTTACATGGAGTAGCAAGAGCAACTAGCAAAGGAATTGGGCTGGGACGCAGCTCAGCGGTGCAGTGTGTGCATACGGTCAAGGTGCTAGGTTCCACCTCTAGGCTTCCTCCTACCTATCATTACACCAGTAAGAAAAACACCGAGGAAAACTCAAGCCCAAGGCTCTTTACCTGTTTTCCTGCACCTGGCCTTGCCAGGTACAGTTTTCCAACAAGCCCTGGGGCTTGCTTCTAGGAAGTTGCAGGTGAGTTTTCCAGTAGGCCTGTACAGGCTCAGAACCTGCCCAAGTAGCCGGGGCACACTAGGTGGGGGGCAGGTTTGGCGATTAACACCCTTAACGCCTCTCTGATCACTGCTCTAGGACTAAAAATGTCCTGGGCCCAGCCCTTGACTGTCCTAATGTCCAGTCAAATCTCAGGCCCTGCCCCTAATGTACAGTCTTGGAGAAGGACAGCTGTCTTATCCTCTGAGGTGACCCCATGTGATGGAAAGGGGATGCTGGCTGCCTCGCAGAACCAAATTCCAAAGGACAGCACTGTCAGGGAAGCAGCCTAACACTCCTCCTAGCCAGTGCTTTGCTGAATACTGAATATTGTCAGCAATGTCCTTTCTTTGGGGGAATCAGGAGTGGAACAGGTATTGACCTGTTATCAACTCGTGAAAAGGAAGGTTTTGGAAAATATTTCTTCTGAGCTTCAATAGAGATTGGGTGTAATTCAGAGTATACACGAGATCAGTCTACAGCTGAGTGCATTCTCTGCTGGGCCTTGAGTTTCCTCCGACTGCCTGAGAAGTGTAATGTTTACTTTAGGCCATTAGATGGCGACAGAGCACCCACATAAGCAACCCCTCCACCTGCTGGCGTTAAGGTGCTCATGACATCCTGTAAGATCTAGAAGTTGAAGCCTAAGCCTGGGGTCTCCAGAGTTTGGCAGCCTCGTGAAGGCTTATGATAGTCACAGCACCAATATCCTGCTCCCTATATGATCCAGCTGTGCACACTTAGACATATGTTCAGGGTCTCATCATTGGTGACAACTTGGGATTGGGGGTCTGAACAGATGTTTCACAGTTTTCTCTTCCAAATGAAACAAACTACTCCACTGGGCATTCTCCTTTTGGTCAGCTTGTGATTCCAAAGCAAAATGAAATCTAACACAAGACTGGGTTTCAAAGTCTGTTCATGGGTAGAGTTTAAGTTACCGAGTTAAATATTTTCAAAACTGTGCCTAGCCAAGACATCTTTACAGTAAAGCAAATGAAATGTAAGCATTGCTGCCCCCTCATTGCATGGACACTTTATGAAGATCTTGGGAGGGCCTGTGTCACTGTGCTCACATGGAAGCATGTTCTTATAAAAATGGGGGAGAAAAATTTAACTGTATTTTGTTGAAACAACTGCCCCTTTCCAGCCACCCTGTCCTCTGTCACACTTTGCTGGGAGTCATGGAGACAGTTTTGGGGGAGGGGGGATTTGACTAAGGGGAAGTGAGCTGGAACTGCAGTAAGACTGAATAGATGTATGGGTGTGGCTTGCAGTCGCAGTTAAATGAAGGCTGGTCATGTGGGAGTGGCTTCCAGGAATAAACACCCCATCCAACTCGGACAATTTAATGACATCGTGACATGAAAACACAGGACCAAAGGGGATGAAGTGCCCAGAGCCATAGTCCACGATGAGGGAAATTCCGATGTGGGGAGATGGCTCAGCGGGAAAAGTGTGCGGGCTGTATACACCTGAGTACTTGGGCTTGGATTACTAGCACCATGTAAAGCTGGTCGTGGTAAAGCTCTTCATGGGGAAGCGCACTGTTCTTTAGCATTGGTGTAAGCAGAGACGGGTAGGGGCTGGAGAGGTGGCTCAGTAGTTAAGAGTACTTACTGCTCTTGAAGACCCGGGTTCAGTTTCCATCATCCATCTGGTGACTCGCAACCATCTCTAACCCCAGTTTTAGAGAATCCAAGATCATCTTCTGACTACAGGCACATATATGACACATAGACACACATGCAGAGAAAACACTCATACACGTAAAATAATAAGTCTAATAAATAAAGCGTAATTTAAAAATAAACCAGGGGTA